CCACTTTGTCGCGTATCTTGTACTTAATTGGCGGCATCAATCTTTCGAGCAACGTTTGCTCCTCTTCAGCAGTTCGAGCGCTTCGAAACCGACTCATTAACAAAACAAGTCAAATATGTTCAAATTTCCATTTGAAAACTCCGTTTAACGACTTGTATGACTTGATAATTAATCCAGTCATTAATTTGCTTGCTGATCAATGAAGGGAAGAATCGTAAAACAATAGAACTATTGTAGTTAGCATTTCTTATTATTTCATTGGGACCCAAAACAAAAGGTGAATTTTAGAAGTCATTTATAAACCTCGTGATTGGGCTTTATCGGTGCCTATAGCCGCTCGCCTTCGGCTCGCGTCTATATGCACCGATAAAGCCCTCTCACTCGGTTTATAAATAGTATATATATATATATATATATATATATATATATATATATATATATATATATATATATATATATATATATATACCAAATATGTATTTAGAATCATATATCTTATGAAGTAAACCAGGTTTATTTTATCTTTATATATATATATATATATATATATATATATATATATATATATATATATATATATATATATATATATATATATATATATATATATATAGTATATACCATCCAAAATAGATGAAACAAATTCGATGAAAATATTGTGTATAATTCTTGGTCACTTCCGGAATAAACATAACTTAAAAGCCTGAAAAAGTCTTATAAAAAGTGCCACTTGAAAATTAAACTATATCTGAAACAAAAACATGGAAGTAACTTCAAATTATTAAAGAGCAATTGGATCACGGGTTTTTCAGGTAGCAAAAGCGTAGTACTTCTTTTTGTAGCGGTTGGAGCTCGTCGATGAACTTTAATTGACTGGTGTGTTAACACGTTGATTTCAGGAAGGGTACAAGTAGTAAAAGCCAATCAAATGACCCAACGTCCTTTGGGAACAAATCTTGACTTCTCTACATTGGAAATTCTATGCAATGACTCAGATAATACGCAGACGTTTGTATTCAGAACAATGAATGTGCATCTTTATTTTTAAAAATCTTCGTCCAATTATTGGGCGGTTTTCTGAGCAGACCGCTTTGAAAAATTACTGTCTCTTACAAACTGGCGCATGACTATAACACAAGCAGCAACAGAAAAAAATTCTGTGACATGTACTAATGTAGCGTACAGAACTTTGCAACGTTCATTTGCAAGACTTTCTGTACACTTTGGTACAGTAGGAGTTCGTTTTAAAAAGTAGTATATAGTACATACCTGTGCGCAACCAACAAACACACCATACGCTGCACTCGTTTTAGATAAGTCAACAAAAGTCGCAACGAGTACAATAAACAATGCCAGAGGTGAAATATATTTCCAACAAATCATCCATCCAATCCATGGTCGTTTTCCTGTCATATCTTCGATATCATCAGCAAATCTAATGGAACAAAATATACATCAGTTAATTTAAGGATGAAATGAAGCTAATTTATTTGTTTCCTGAACACTAGGGTGGAACTAATTACCTTGAAAACAGGTTTAAGGTGGCTCGATATAGTTATAAAATCCTGCTCAAGAATCGCGAACAAAACCGGGTGACCATTTTTACGCGCAGGTCGCGGAAACTGATTAACGAAATGAAAGAACTTCCAAAATGACCTGACGTGAGCAGTTGCTCGCGCCATCTCACGTCATTGCGCGTGTTCTATAGCGTTTTATGTCAATTGCTGACGTCATTATAATTTTCCATTTTGGAAAAACAATTAACAATTATTCGCCGAAGGCGAGGTGATTATCGGGGAATATTCGCCGAGACGAAGTCAAGGTGAATATTCCCGATAATCACCGAGCCTGAGGCGAATAATTGTTTTAGTATTTTTACACAAGCCTTTTGTGTTTTTTTGAGACTGATTTTTTTTAATTTCGCTTACTTCTTTATCAGTAACTTCCACAAAACCGGTAGCCGCTATTTTGAAAATTTCGGTTTTGTTATTTTCACCTGTAGGTGAATATAACGGCTTAATACGTCAAATTTGACCAATCAACGTGTAGGATTTATGTTCACTTGTGAAAAATACTAATGCACTATACTCTCTATTTTGTCTGGTGATCTATGTTCAAATTTTGCATCCTGTATTACACCGCTAAAAACTTTTTCATTATACAAAAAATAAAAAAATTCTGTAATGCCAAAAACATTTTACCGCAGAATACGACATTTTCGCATTTTCCAAAAAAATGGCATTACAGAATTCTTTTATATTTAAAATAATGCACGAAAAAAAATGTGGGTCACCATGCTTCTTTTCCAACTATACGAGACGATAGGCATCTTGTAGTGAATTTCGTACAGGTATGTCGTCATAGCATCGAACTATCTGTTACTAAAACTAATATGACTTGAAAGTAGAGATATCAAAATATATAAAAACGGGCCTCAATATCTGCTGAATAAATCCTAAAAATACGTAGTTCGAACATGTCAAAGTGTTGAATACCTGCATTTTTGAAAAGTGTATCGAGCCACCTTAAAAGGGAAACTTGTGTCATTTTTTCGTCAAAGGAGAATTCAGTGTTCTGAACTATTGGTAGAGTACACTGTATAAAGCACTGAAACCTAGTGCGACTATTTTAAGTAATTTAGCCCTCCTCCTTGGTAATCTGCTGAAGAAAGGTCACAGGCCTTTGCCTTACTTCTTAAAATTATTTGTCAACTTGGTTTATTATATAAAGCAAAGATAATATTTTGCCGTTATCTGTTTAACAGCTATATACAGGGTGTATAAAAAAACTGAACAGATTTGAAATTGCTCTCAATTTCGCAAAACAGCTATTAGTATCCAGTTTTTTATATATAGCTTCTTTCGGTACTTATAATGTAGAATGATGAAAAAAATTTCTCGAACTGAAATTTTGTAAACCAGGGGGTGTGTCTTTTCCAACAAAATAAAAATGGCTTGGCGCACGAGATTTAAAAGCTTTAATCGTATTTTCGTTGTGGCACGAAATTTCAGACAGTTTAAGCCCTTTAACTATTCACGCAAACTTACATTTTTTCCTAAAAAAATCAGCTTTTTGCATGTTTAATTAATGCCTTTGCCTAATTTGCATAGGTTACCAATATGCAAATTAGGTAAATCCATTAATTAAGCATGCGAAAGGCTGATTTTTAGGAAAAAATGGATAGTTAAAGGGCTTAAACTAAAGCAAATTGTCTGAAATTTTGTACAGTAATTTAAAAAAAACCCAACAAATTTTCATCCATTAACTCAAAATACGATTAAAGCTTTTAAATTTCGTGCGCAAGCCATTTTTAGCTTGTTGGAAACAACACATCCCCTGGTTCACAAAATTTGAGTTCGAGAATTTTTTTTCATTATTCTGCCTTATAAGTACCCAAAGAAGCTATATACATCAAAAACTGGATACTAATGGCTGTTTTGCGAATTGAGAGCATGTTTCAAATCTGTTCAGGTTTTTTTTATACACCCTGTATAAATCATTCGTCAATCACTCGGGTCACATTTGATGACGTCATATGATTATGCAGTAAGTATTGCAAACACTTACTTGTTATTTCCATAAATCCAGGCGACGCCAATACACTCGAAAAACGCTATCACCAGGAGGGGGATTGTTGCGCAGTTATCATCAAATATTTGAAAAACGTAAAAACCGTTTCCAGCAACCATACAGAGCCCAATAAGCAGGAGCACAAAAACAATGATTCCTAGTAGAAGTGGACCAGTTTTATAAGATTAATATATAATTTTAATGATAAAGTTGTACTAATCCAATTCTTTTTTGGTTATGTATATGTCCACTATTATGATATATTACAGACATGGAAGAATTATTTCACAAACTTCAAACCAACTTCATGATCCGTAGTATAATTGCATTCTTACGCGGGTACGTCCAGGAAAGTCAAAGTTATATATATCATGCAGGTATGTGAATTTCGTTCCTTCGTCTGGGTGGTCCTACACACGCTATACATGCGCTCGCACATTAACGCGTGCATGGTCTCGTTGTAACATATGATTTAATTGGCCAAAAAGACGTTACGTCGCGGGATTCTCGCTCGAGTCCGCAAACGTTACCTTCCGAGCGAAGAATGAGCGTGGGAAATTACGTCTGGGTTCGCAGACTGGAAACGTCGAAGTTCTTTTTGTATTTCATTTTGTATTTTTTAGTTTTTTAGTTTGCTATTCAATGCTGTAGCAACTGAGGTACGAGGTCAAGTCGCTTTTAATAGGCGATATGGTGGAGGAGGAATTTGTGTTTATCTACCACAGGGCACCTATGCCAAACGTAGGTTGGACCTGGAACATGAAAATTTAGAATGTCTGTGGCTGTGGCTTCGCCCTACCCGCCTTCCCAGACCGCTCTCTGGTATTGCAGTGTGCATAGTCTATCATCCCCCTGGTTTACCTGTAGAAAACCACCGCCAACTTAATGAATACCAACTGTGGTCTAGTCCTTCTTGGTGATTTTAACGATTTCGATATATCGAATATATTATCAAGTCATAACCTGAAGCAAGTTGTCAAAGTCCCTACAAGAGGAACAGCCATTTTGGATCTGATAATTACGAACCAACCAAACCTGTATGAACCTCCCCAAGTTTTAGCGCCCTTAGGGTCCTCAAACCATAATATTATATCTTATTGGATTCTTCTGAGCCCAATATGGCAAAATATTAAGTCGAGACTTCAATATTGGGCGAGACCGAAGGTCGAGCCTAATATTGAAGTCGAGACTTAATATTTTGCCATATTGGGCGAAGATGAATCCAATAGGAGTTTTATTATATCGAACAAAACAATTCTATAACAAAAATTGTCAATAAGCGATAAAGTAAATACAGCGAGACTAATAAAGCGACTACATTTATTATACTACATATATCGGCAGCGAATTTGCTTAAATAACTAAACAAAAAAGTTAATAAACCTGTTTTTACAAATATGTGTGCATAAATAAACTCAATTCCATGTAGGTTGAAAGGAAATTTGACCTAATTTTAACGAAAAAAATAATATTACGAACTTCTAGGCTGTTGCAAACAAATAAATTTCGCGAAGACAAGTTTTCCCGCGCTTTTATAATTTTAAACAAACTGGTGGAAAAAACTGTATTAATGTCCCAAATTCTTTTCATTATTCTGCCATATCGTTTGTCGTATGTTTGAAATTGACAAAACATCTGAAAAGGGTTGAAAAACCATGAAAAAAGCCACAATTCGCAAGTGTCCAATAGGTTCCTGTCCAATATCGTAAAATATTGGATCGGCACGTGACCCTCTCAACGATTACTGATTGGTTAAGTGCGCGTGAGTGTATAATAATGTAACATGGTCACCCAGTCTAGAGAATACCAATTCTCAAGAACGTACGAAATCTGTCAAACGTCGCATCCGGCGCTATCCAAGGTCTGGGGTTGAAGCTTTGGGGAGATGGATCGCTACACATGTCTGGTTTGGCGAGTTAGGAACTAATCAAACGGTAGACGATTTAACATCATCATTCTCATCGCACCTTACAGAAGCCATCAATCGTATATTCCCTCCTGTAACTGTGAAGTGGCATCAAACCGATAAACCTTGGATAATCCCAAGTATTAAAAAACTGATTAAAGACCGACAGAAAGCATTCTATAACCATAATATCCCCCTATGGAAATCTGTAAGATATAAAGTCCAAGAGGAGATTAAGCAAAGAAAGAAATCATTTTATAAAAACAAAGTTCAGCATTTAAGAAACAGTGATAGTCGTAAGTGGTGGAAAATCATTAACAAAATGTCTGGCAAACCCGAAACAACAAAGCCTTTCACCTTAGAACGCGATGGTGAAATCCTAAACAATTTACAAGCTTCCAATGCCCTTAACGAATTCTATACTTCCGTTAACGCCGATATTCCGCCATTAGATGTGAACTTATTACCACCGTTTTTACCATCAAATGAAAACGTACCTGCAGTTGAATGTTACCAAATCTGTAAGAAACTCCAAACTGTCCATTCTTTCAAAGCCCCCGGACCTGACAATATTTCACCTCGAATTTTAAAGGAGTATGCTCACGTGCTAGCTGAGCCGATCACCATTATTTTTAATACATCCCTTGCTTCAGGAGTTGTGCCGAGTAGTTGGAAGGAATCGAACATAGTCCCAATCCCTAAAACATGTAAACCGATTGCTGAAGCCGACACTAGGCCTATATCACTAACATCATGCTTGCCTAAAGTTTTAGAGGATTTCGTAGTATCTTGGCTGATTGAGGATGTAAAAGAAAAAATCTACCCCAGCCAATTTGGTTGCATGAAAGGGACATCCACCACTTTTTGCCTTCTGGATATGTTACATTCTTGGCTTTCCCATCTTGACGGACTCGGTAATCATCTGCGTATTTGTTTCCTGAACTTCTCCAAAGCCTTCGACCGCATAGGTTATAATCTATTAATTGAGAATCTGATAAATTTGGGTACTAGACGCTCATTAATCCCTTGGATCATCAACTTCCTCTCAAATCGAAGGCAGCGTGTTAAATTTGACGGAGCAACCTGTGACTGGCTTCCAGTGAATGCAGGTGTTCCTCAGGGGACAAAACTAGGTCCAATCTTGTTCCTAGTAATGGTCAATAACCTGCGAATCACTTCTCCCGACACTAGAATGTGGAAATACGTAGACGACGTTTCAACCACTGAGAGTCTTAGCAGAAATTGCACCTCTATCACTCAATCAACCCTTAATTCAGTTCAGTTGTGGGCTTCCGATAATTGGATGAGACTTAATACCAATACATAGAGCTTCGTGTTAGTTTCCTTGGAGAAACCCCCCAATTAATGCCTCTGTTAATCGATGGACACCCAATTGAGACAGTGCGTTCACATAAAGTACTGGGACTTACGATCCAAAGCAACCTGAAATGGGATGAACATATCCATGAAATAGTCTCGAAGGCATCCAAACGATTGCATATCCTCCGGGTGTTGCGCCGAAGTGGTATTCCTCCTGCAGACCTTCTCACTGTGTATATTGCGTTAATACGCTCAATCCTTGAATACTCTTGTGAAGTTTGGCACAACTCTATCTCATGCTATTTATCTGACAAACTTGAAAAAATCCAAAAGCGAGCCTTGCGTATTGTATACCTTGAACAAACTTATTAAGATGCGTTGCTGTCGGCTGGTATCACCAAATTGGAGACTAGAGCTACGTTTGAAGACACTCACGAAGATAACCAGAGGTGGTCCGCTTACACAACACGTGACCCAGACTAGATCGAACGAACATAATTATTTTATTAGATCATTAAATAATTTATCAACTTATAAATGTCGAACTGATCGGTTTAAAAATAGCTTTTTCCCAAATACAATTAATATTGCTAATAGTAAACAGTGACTGGTGAGACTTGATTGTAACTTTGTCCTAACAACCATTGTAAATAATCTTATATTATTATAGTATTTTAATGTAAGCACTTTGTACTTCACTTTATGTGCGAAATTGTGCTATTAAACATCATCTTATCTTATCTTATATTTCGGAACTCAGTCTAGTTCCTTCGATGTCATACAGTATATGTCTTAAGATCTTAAGTCTAATGATTATGGTCAGCTACCGAACTATCTGACCTACTCGAATCGACTTGACGTTGTAGCTTAGTTGGTAGAACATTAGAGTAGCAAGCCAAAGGTCGAGGGTTCGATTCACATCACAGTCAGTCAAGTTATTTTTCCGGTGTGGACCAACTCAAAGTACCATCATGATCTAGTTCAATAACTTTACCTGAGTTCAAACACCACGATATCAGTTCCAAGGTGTTGTACGTATGTCTACTATTATTAGTTAAGATACTTTTGTCAGGTAGTTTATCAGACACAAATACGAGTACTAATGCGGTTAATTTATTAAGTCAGTCTCTGACTCCAATTGATCTCTTCCGGTGAATTTCACCGTAACGCTCATCAATATTTCTAGCACTCATATATTTCGTACGTATCGTAAAATAAATTCCTTTTTGTCATAAATATTTTGAAATATAACATGCATATGGATATCCTGGATTCTCTAATAGGTCCCAATGAATCACTGAACCAAATTTCAACAGTAATTCCCTTTCCTTCGCACTAAAAAGCTAGCTTAGAAACACCTTTGAATTAAGAGGGTTTAATGAACTCTAATGGACGCTGTCAACTGCAGTCATAATACGGTCAAATGTTAATAATCAGTTAACCCTATCCAGGACTGGGGGCAGATCTCAAAACCTATATAAGGTATCGCAATGAAACTTTCAGAGAATGATGCTTGTGAAAGTACAAGTTGAACTACAACTTCTGGTACTATGGCTACACGTGGCGACGTCATTATGACGTACTCATTATTAGCCAAATTCTCGGATTTCTATAATATCAAGAAATATTTGTTACGTATATTGCCAAAACGATTGCTTTGCCAATTTTTAATCAATTTTGATATCGAAGCGGAACAACTATAGTTAAAATAAGTATAAAGACGAAATTTTGTAGAAAACATTTTGCTATTATATATATATATATATTATTTGAAGTATTCTGTGCATGTTCTTTACTTTTAAAGCTAAACGCCTGGATGTCTTACTAGATTACGTCATCTAGTGACGTCATAGTTCCGCCATCTTGAATTTTTGGTTTGATCACGTAATAAATGGTCTAAAACTAACTCAAATGTTAGGTAGCTTACAAAAGTATGCTTTAGGCCCAAAAAAGTAGATAAAATACTAAAATAACGGTTGTTTAGAAAATGACTTACAAAAATATGACTTGACACGTCATCATAAACTTGGTTACCGTGGGGACATGGGTTAGGTAAGTGACCCAATCACTACACTATTGTAGTCCCAGACAAATGTTAGGAAAAGTCGTGAAGTTTCGTGCATATAAATTTATATGTTCAAAAGTTATAACCATTTAAAGTTGGCGCGGGCACTTTCCGTCCCACACAGTCTGGATCATATCTTTAAAGATTGCAAGGAATAACTGAACCATGTATGGCTGCCTCTTCCTCCAGACTTTCGCCCTTCCAGCCCTGTATTAAACTGAAAAAGCAATTTGATCAACCCACCAACCTGCACATAATTCTCTACGCCATGTCTTTGGAAATAATCCAAGATCCATAATTGGTCCAGTTAATGCTTCAAGTGTCCCAAATTCACTGTCAATACCAAGCAAAATCAACATGAAGAAAAACAAAGCTGACCAAAGTTGAGGAACATCCAGTTGCAAGAGAGCATCTGAAAATGTCATGAATGCCAATCCAGGTCCACTTCCAACCTTGAGAAGTAGTGAAATTTTTTGGGAAATGTAAGTACGCAATTCTACTAATTTTTTAGTTTGCTCGTCAAACCTTTTGAAATGATAAAACGTCCTCCCCACAAAAACCTGTGCAACATATAGTACGATTTAACAACGTTGTTACATATACCACACTAATTATGCGCAGACGCTGCGATTATTCAGGCCGATTTCAGATCCATTGCGATAATATTCGAACTTTCAAATATTAATCGTCATCTTTCGACATTACCAACCAGAAGCCAGTTGTCCAAAGCTTGATTATACAGGGTGTATCAAAAAAGTAAGACAATTTTGAAATTGCTCTCAATTCCACAATTCTGTTCATGAAATGTAATTTTTTATATGTATGGATTGCTTGAGTTCTTAAATTATGGAAAATATAAAAAAAATTGAAAATAGTAAATTTTGCTATCCAGGGGGGGTGGTCAACTTTTGCTCTCCTAAAAGTGGCTTGCGCACGGAAATGACAAACGGTATTCTTTATTTGAGTTCATGTATGAAAAGTTCGCTATTTGTTGCATTTGTGATAAAATTTCGGCAGGATTTTTCTGAGTACAAATCCTCCGAAAAGCCTATGAAAACGTTACATTTTTCTCTGTTGGTACTGTTCTTGCTTCATTATGAATTCATTTTTACTCCCATGAGAGTTACGTGGAATTTCCATGGAATTTGTGCTTTCGAGTTGTTTGTGCTGAAACGCATTCTCTCGTATAATACTCCGTACACTTTGAAATGGTGATGCCACAATTTACCCTGCAGCAGAGAGCTTTTATGCATGGTATCAGAGTTCCTCCGTAGCAACAACATAAACTTGGTTCGCCAAAGTTTCACGAATATCCAGATGTACGATGCCTTCACGTATTCGCACGTGAAGGGCATCGTACATGCATCCGGATATTCTTTCGTGAACTTTGGCGAACCAAGTTTATGTTGTTGCTACGGAGGAACTCTGATACCATAAAAGCTCTCTGCTGCGGGGTAAATTGTGGCATCGCCATTTCAAAGTGTACGGAGTATTATACGAGAGAATGCGTTTCAGCACAAACAACTCGAAAGCACAAATTCCATGGAAATTCCACGTAACTCTCATGGGAGTAAAAATGAATTCATAATGAAGCAAGAACAGCACCAACAGAGAAAAATGTAACGTTTTCATAGGCTTTTCGGAGGATTTGTACTCGGTAAAATCCTGCCGAAATTTTATCACAAATGCAACAAATAGCGAACTTTTCATACATGAACTCAAATAAAGAATACCGTTTGTCATTTCCGTGCGCAAGCCACTTTTAGGAGAGCAAAAGTTGACCACCCCCCTGGATAGCAAAATTTACTATTTTCAAATTTTTTTATATTTTCCATAATTTAAGAACTCAAGCAATCCATACATATAAAAAATTACATTTCATGAACAGAATTGTGGAATTGAGAGCAATTTCAAAATTGTCTTACTTTTTTTGATACACCCTGTATACTAATACTACCGTGCATGACTTGGATCATAGACTGCATGTGTACAACTCAGTGACGGTTTTAGGGGTTGAGTGAGCCCCCATATATGCCTGGGATCATGGGTATAATGCCCCCCTAGCCTGATATTAGCAGCTGACGACTGACGTTAAATAATCTTACATAACTCCTACAGGACAAAAGTTAATGTTGTTGCGAGAAAGCCATACCTAGGCATATGATATACGAATATAACTTCCATGTATAGTTGCATGGTCTTGTTCTCAATCGTATAGCAACAGTGTCCGGCAGTGGTAGCAACTAGGCCAGTTCCGGTGTTTTTAAACCTAATAAAGCACTCCCGTCTCGTTTATAAATAAACCTTACTAACAGTCCTTTTATGCATGTCAAATAACTTTCCGACTTTCAGTCAGTCGCATACTCGCATTTCTCTCACAATATTGTCAATTCTTGTGTATACATCGTGCTTATAGTATGAAGTCTTTAGGGCCTGATGCAATTCATTTTCCAGCATGAGCTCCACCTTTGAATTTATATGAGTAAATTGTTAAACACGTCCGCATTTATCAATACAATAAATTCGCGACACATGTTGAGCCCTAACCCCTAACCCAATATAACCTCTAACCCCTATAACCTAATCTTAATCTAACCCTAATCTAATCTTCATTTGACACTAATCCAAAATTTTTTTGGAAAGGTTCCTCAACCAATCAGATTGCTTCATTTTCACTGATAAAATATAAATATATATAAGATTTGGTTTGGTTGGTTATAAAAACGTTTGGCAAAGTGCTCAATGGAAAACCATGCAGAGCATATGCCAATACGAGGTGCGTTGGGAGGTCGAACATTTTTTTACAAACTTTCCCGTTAATGTATCGTTATTTGTTAACTTTTTCCGTAATTTTCGTAAATTTAGCCACATTTTTGCTAGTACTTTTTATTCCGAGACACTCAGATATTTTCGCTGACTATGATTAAGATAATTTGCCGATAAACCCAAAAACAATTTGTCGAGTCAACCATGCAGACATTTGCCGAGTCTGTGATTAATGGGGCGCCGGTGTTACACCCCACACACCCCTCTCTGGCTACGCCCATGACTTCATCAAACGTTTTACCGGCCAGTAATCATCATTCCCACAGTAACCCATTAATGAGATTAAATGTCGGGCCCGTATTGTGGTTCATCTCATACGTTTTCCAAGGTATTCTAGGGTAAAGATAATTAGGAATTAAGTTAAATCACTGTTCTGACCACGCACCAACACTAAGACTGAAAATAGTTTAAACGACGCTGTAATAGTAAATTATTTAGATTGCACTTGATGTCCTGAAAGGTGTATAGATCATTAAAATAATACCAGGACGTCCTGGTTAATTCAACTGGGCAATATAGCCTAGGTTAACTAATAACCAGAAAATAGAAAGAATATTCTAGGTTAAATTAATTGACAAGGAAATTTTAGTGATTTTCTGATTGATCATACTAAGTATAGTAATAGCAGACCTTGCATGTTGATATTGCATGCAAGTTAAAAATGAGTGAGAGCGCGGAACTTTTATAATTGTGCAGGTTTTCACTATATATATATATATATATATATATATATATATATATATATATATATATATATATATATATATATATATATATATATATATATATATATATATATATACGAGTAGGTTTATGAATACGAAACGCAAAGAGTGCTCAATATCATAAAGATAGAGCAAATTTAGAATTTCGCTTACCTCAAAATTCCGCAACAGTCTGTTTCATCAGTAAAGAATCATCAGGCGGTATATATATATATATATATATATATATATATATATATATATATATATATATATATATATATATATATATATATATATATATATATATATATATATATATATATATATATATATATATATTAAATTAAAGCAATAAAGATCACTTTTAATACCATTCTTCACAGTTTTTACTGGTATATGGATTCCATGCAATGGGTGATTTGAGGGGTTTTTCCTTCCGATAATATATTTATATACAAATCAAACAGAGGTTTTGTGTGGCATATATTGTGGTGGGAAGATAATGGGTGTTCCAAGAAAAATCACACTTTTCAAGACTGGCTAAAATGCGCGGGACATATACTGAAAAGTAAGTTTTATCTTGTATAGTGTTTTTGATGTTCTATTAATTTTTTACACGTATACATTTTAACTAAACAAAATTCTACATAAATCTAAGACGTTTTGTAAAATGCGTGTGCTTTTTTTGCGCGGAGCGTGAGAAATCACCTTAAAAGGTGTTGTGTTTCATGCAGAATGCGGACTTGGAAGGTCTGTATAATTATTAATAGGCTGGTGATTTATTAAATTAATTGGAGTACTTCCTCCGTAGAGAATCCTGATGGCCGATCTGATTTTCTGTCTTGCCAAACTTTTGACAGTATTTTAAATCTTAATCGACTTTGATCTTGGTCATGGATCAGTCTTTCTGCATGATGGAAAGCAGCATCCAAACTATAATTTCTCACGGGCTTCTGCACTCAGAATGGGTGAAAAATTAATCTATATTACTATAATTTCACATTTTCTCCTCATGGGCCAAATAAAGATATTATGAAGTCAACAACTGAATATTGAGCATTGCGGCACATCAAAACCCCCACAAAATTATATATATGGTAATATATGCAGCATGTTTTAGTATTGCCATGGAGAAAAGATGCTGACGGCATTTTATAACAAGATTGTGTTAATGTCATTTTTACACATGCCATAGCGTGTTGAGACACATCTATATCACTATATACTGCATAGCCATTCAAACACTAACTCTAAGGTATTTCGTGTTATAATAAAATTATTAGTAGAATCAGAATTCAGAAGTACGTTTCCCCCTACCTGCAGCGTGAAAGGAATATCCGGTAATTTAAGGTGGCTCGATATAGTTATCACAAGAACCCTGCTCAAGAATCGCGAACTCAAAACGGGTGACCATTTTTACGCGCAGGTCTCGGAAACTGATTAACAAAATGAAAAAACTTCCAAAATGACCTGACGTGAGCAGTTGCTCGCGCCATATCACGCCATTGCGCGTGTTCTATAGCGTTTTATGTCAATTGCTGAAGTCATTAGAATTTTCCATTTTAGAAATACAATGCGCTATATCTCTTTATTTTGTCTGGTGACCTATGCTCAAATTTTGTATGCTGTATTGCACCGCTAAAAACTTTCATTATACAAAAAATAAAAAAATTCTGTAATGCCAAAAAAATTTTACCGAAGAATATGACACTTTCGCATTTTCCAAAAAAATGGCATTACAGAATTTTTTTATATTTTGCTAATTGTTAGCTTTTAGTCCAAGTAAAATAATGCACAAAAAAAAAATTGGGGGTCACCATGCTTCTTTTCCAACTATACGAGGCGATAGACCATTTTGGAGTGAATTTCGTACACGTATGTCGTCATAGCAACGAACTATCTGTTACGAAAACTAATATAATTTGAAAGTAGAGTTATCAAAATATATAAAAACCCCAATATCTGCTGAATAAATCCTAAAAGTGAGTAGTTTGAACATGTCAAAGTGTTGAACACCTGAATTTTTGAAAACTGTATCGAGCCACCTTAACAACACTGTTATAATTATATTTAGTGATCTATATTTCTATATTTCATCAAATTCATAATAATCTATATAGAAACGAAATAGATAAATTAAAGTCCATGGGAGTTTTAGACGTCGTCCTTTATCCGCTTACAAACGACAAACCACATATTTTCACGCCTATACACACTCAGCTGCGACAAGAGGTACTCGAAAAAATGGCTAGTAATATCGGCCCCATGCAATTTTAACCTTCTCAAACTGTATTATACATGTATGTATGTATATGTATGTAACCTTTATTTAAAATCTAATCGACGCTAGCCTCATCAACATTCCGAGTTGGTTTCCATGAGGAGCGTCGATATATACAAAATAACATATTTACAAAAATAACAAAAAGGATTTTAAAAAGTACAAAATTACAAGCGACAAACACGAATAATATTTTGTAAGGTGTGACCCGATCTAATTAATATTCAATTTAAAAACATATTCTGAGTGGGCTAATTTTGCTTCCAAAGAAAAGCTATTCCAAAGTTTTGCGCCACTAGGCCTATATTTGAAACTTTTTTTAAGGAATTCCCTTCTCGGAATTGGTAAAGCTAAATCAGTAAATCTATTCAGTTCTAAGATTGTAAGATCCTTGCAATGCGCTATTCACAATGAACAAATTCGAGCAGTATAATTATTCAAAATTCTTCTTTCCTCCAAAGTTACCCAACCAAGAGATTCAAAAACGTCAGCCGAATTAACTTCATAATAAGTTGCGCCGGCAATTATCCTAGCCGAGCGATTTTGAAATGTTTGAAGTTTATGTTTTAAAAAAGCACAACAATTTCCCCATAAATGGGAGCAATAATCAAAATATGGCTGTATCAAGGCATTATAAATCATTTGCAAAGTATTATTAGGAACAAAAGGCTTTATTCGTTTCATAACGGCTATTGCAGCCCCCACTTTTTTACATATCTTTTCAATAGTTGATCCCAGCTCATCCTTTCATCAAGGAATACCCCTATAGGCATTCGAAAGAACTTGTCCGGGGAATCGATTCCCCATTTAGTATATTACTGGATAATCACAGACCTTGTTCCTGAGGTTGTGTGTTGAGCCAATGATCATTACTTAGGGTGATGTTGTAATTTATTTCTAAAGAGCCATTCACTAATTTTGTTCAAATCATAGATTAATTTATCTATAAGTTCAATATAATCAGCAGAAGAAGTAAATATCTGGGTGTCATCAGCATAAAGACAAGGAGTAGTCTTACGAAGACTCTCGGGTAAATCGTTTATGCAGAGTAAAAAGAGTAGTGGCCCTATAGAATAGAACCCTGCGGTATACCGGTTATATGATCTTTTTAGAAGAAGAAAAAGTCCCATTTATATTACAAACTTGTTCTCTGTTCGTCAGGTATGATTCAAACCAACCTAGTTCAATGTTCGTGAGACCAAATTGTGTTTTCATTTTGTGTAATAATATTTTATGGAATCAAATGCCTTACGAATGGAATCAAATGCCTTACGAATATCTAAGAAAACATGCAACTCCAGTCAATTTACCATTATCCATATTTTGATACCATTCGTCACACATTTGTATTAATGCTGTTAGGGTTGAGTTCACTGGGCGGAAACCAGATTGATATTGATTGAAGACAACTCTCTCCAATATCTTACTTATGAGTCTATGACGGGCAAAATTGATATTTAACAATTAGTCGCCGAAGGCGAGGTGATTACAAGCCTATATTCACTGAGCCGAAGGCGAAGTGAATATAGGCTGTAATCACCGAGCCTGAGGCGACTAATTGTTTTAGTATAAATTTCCAGGTGTTTACAAACAATAATCCACACAACTTTATAAAAATTCACTACAAATAAATTTATTTTCACTATAAATAGTTTGTTTACAAAATTTAAATCTCAGACACGGCTCTGTGTCGCGTTGCGACTAAGCCAGTTTTTTTCCAAATAAAAGCACGTAAAGTTTAATATTTTACCTTGAAATATTTTTAAACCATATTTTGTAGCTTGTTTGGGTTTTTTCGGAATGCTATCTTCTTTAATTTTGGAATTTCCTCCTCTGTTACTACGGCAAAACGAGCAGCCATTTTGAAAAAAAAGCTATAGTCACTGACCAGTGACTATCACTTCAGAGACAGTGAATCTTGACCAATCAGAATGCAGAAAAATCAATAGTCACCTGGAAATTTATACTAATGGCCGATAGTCTTCGCTTTTACGTTTATCGCCCGATTTATAAATTGCTAATCACACAAGCCTTCTTCCAACTATCAATAAAAATTCCTGTTCTTAAAGAAATACTAAATATCCAGGTTATTGATGGTGCAATAATATCTGCAGATATCTTAAGAACTCGAGCTGGTATCATATCAATACCGGTTGATTTCGATGTTTCAAGATTACGCAGTTCGGTTATGACTATTTCCTCACTAAGTTCAGAAAACTTAAACAATTAAAGCGCTCGAACAAGGAGTATTATTATTTTTGCACAAGTGAACATAACAAATCCTACCAGTTGATTGGTCAAATTTGACGTATTAACCTGTTATATTCACCTACAGTTGAATATAACAAAAACGAAATCTTCAAAATGGCGACTAGCCGTTTTGTGGAAGTTACTGATAAAGAAATAAGCGAAATTGTAATAAATTCAGTCCCAAAAAACACAAAAATACTAAAACAATTATTCGCCTCAGGCTCGGTGATTATCGGGGAATATTCACCTTCGACTTCGTCTCGGCGAATATTCCCCGATAATCACCTCGCCTTCGGCGAATAATTGTTTAAATTGTTATCAATCTCTTTCGTCAAATCACCACAGATTTCAGAAGCTAAGGGGCGGACCATTAGAAAAACCCGGAGGGCGGGAGCAGAAAAATTTCCGTGCAGGATTTTTTTTTCGAGGATAAACGCCTGCATGATTTTTTTTCTAGAGTCCAAGTTTTGCAGGATTTTTTTTTTGTATTGAAGTTGATACAATTTTCCCCTATAAAACCCATCTGTTAATGGTTCACACAACTTTTCTGTAAATATATACCAATACAGCTTTATAAAGGAATTTTTAAGGCATCACATGTACACTAGTCCTACCTTCACCTTTTTAATTTGCAAAGTAAAGTATAAATGAGATAAGAGGAATTCAAAAGATGTTGAAGGCTTTCCCGCTGTATACTTTTCCCCCTGTACACTTTCATCCATTCCATCTCTGGTTTGAACAAAGTTCCTAAATGCCGCCTGGGAAGAGCGATCACATAGATAAACTGGACCTTCTGTAATTGGCGTTGACATTTCCTGCTCTTGTCAGTAGAATTAAAATAATAGTTTCTGTCTTTTGAAGATAAAGTGAATATTTGTGGGCTTTATATTTCCTCTTGAATTCGAACTTGGTCAGAAACTTAAAATCCTCAATATTGTTCTCTGAGACATCTTCGAGGTGACGTACTAATATCACTTTATATACCTGTCTTTATAAAATCTATATATTGATATTTTTCAAGGGATATCAGAGACCGCGCAGCCATTTTTGGATTGGGGAGGAGAGGGAGCTGGCAAACGCCGAAGGCGTGAGTTTACTACGGGGGTTCCAGGGAAATTTTGAATTCTGAGACCTTCCAGAGCCCCGGAAATGCAATCAATTCTACTAGTTGCTGTTAAAAAGTTTCTTAATAAACGAATCTTAATCTAATATTACCCATCATTTGTTTAATCTAACCAGAAATAGATTGAATACTTGGCTATATAAGTTATACTATATTGTTAACTGATCTGAAAGATTTCAGTATTCTTAGTTTATAAAAATCACATACATGTATGGAAAATAACTGGGGGGGGGGATAAAGCCCCCCCCTGCTCTGCGGTCCCCAATATTTCCTTAAGAAAACTAAGAAATTGCGAATCCTTAATAACTTGAACTTCGTCTTCAGCTGTGCTTTCCGCCATATTTTCCATATGCCGCGCAATATTGCGTGTGAAATACTTCATCTTGCAAAAGTAAAGTGGATCAAAGTATATTTGAAACGTACATTGTTCTTGCAAGATGAAGTACCATATACTACAAGAAGCACCGCTGAACAGTAAATAATCTTCTTGGAAAGTGGCACTGGAAAGCCAAGAGCACAGAAAACTATTTAATACTGCATTTTACATTTGCAATAGCAAAAACTGCTATGCACCCAGTCGTCACACTGCGCTTGCAAGATATTCATTTCAGACTAGGTCATGTGCAGTAATTTTTTTCACATAATTTCTCCTTGCAGCATTTTTTGGGGGGGAATTGTCACCCTTCTCCGGGTTTTTCTAATGGTCCGCCCATAATTTAGAGCCAATAGTAACAAAAAAATCATTAAGTGTTTCGGCAATTGAGCTGTTATCAGAAGTAAGAACATTATCAGTAAAAAGTCCAGATTTATCAGCAGATTTACGTGTAGCTACCAGATAGTAAGAGTTGTTTTTGACATTTGTAGGCGCAGTCACTAATTTAAGACTTAATTTTCAGTTGTTTACGTTTCTGATATTGAATTATTGGCCGCGCCTATAAACGTCAAAAACAACCGTTGGCGTTGCTATTAGAGACCTTACGATTTTAGGACGGCAACCGCGACGGCAACGGCAACCATTACAATAGATCATTGAGAAGAATTGAGTAATTACAATAAATGAATAATTTAGACATTGTCCTCGCTCTGTTTATACAACGCCAAATCACATATTTTCACGTGTTGATACAACGGCTGTATTCCAAGCCACAACAAGTGCAACTTCAACCTGGGTTTACCAGAACTCTTCCCAACCATAAAACCCATGTCTTCAACTTCTAAGACTGTATTAAATTCATACGATTGATAATATACGACGAACTATCGACTACCATTTATTTGAAGGAGTTTGTTTTGGCCGTCGCCGTCGCGGTTGCCGTTCTAAAATCGTAAGGTCTCTATTGTAGTGCCATCCACGCGCTTAGCTTTGGCACTAAGCTAAGGGTATTTATAAACACGGGCAATATTTTTCTGGCGACGGCAATGCAATGGTGGTAAATATCCGTAAAATCTTTGCATTGCCATTGCGAGAAAAATATCTGCGACGGCAACGCAAAGCTTCGCACAATCATTGCCGAAATTTCAAATCATTGATTGCCGAAAATTGGGAGGTGCATGTGGACAAATTCCAGGAAATCATTCCCCCAGACGGCCGAACACCATAGTTATTCTGTGAGTTCGACGATTACTCGATTAGACCCCCTTCATTCGTTGGGGGATGTGAGTTTGCCCCTGTGTGTGAGGTGATCACGTGTTTCTATAGTTCTATAGAGGGCATAAGAGCATTTTCCGGTCAAAATCACTTATAGGAATTATGAGCCTCCCATTTTCATTGTCAAGTGAGTGTCTCGGCTTTTTATGGGAAAGGGCACTTTTATGTAGGTAGGGTGGCTCTCACTGAGAACAAAGTGCACTGATAACAAATTTAAAAACGCCTGCATCGGCTGCATATGCAGCGCCATATTTGGTAGTATCTCGATATACTGACACTGAGAACCAATATAAAATGCATGGAAAGTTTTTTCTCACACAGACGTGTGCAAAGGAAAATTACAGGAGGGGGTTCAATTCTATTCCGTTTTAATTTTTTGTAGGAATAATTATTAAAGCATTGGCCATTGTATGAAGACTAAGCCATTGATTAGAAAGAAAAATTGTGAAACGCGTACATGCAGACTGCATTTTAAAAGTAATGATAAGTTGATAACATCGATTTTTTATTATTAATAATATTATATCGTGATTATTATTTTGCTATTATTAATACTATTTTATGTGGTTAATATGTAAAAAAGGATTTTTTCCTTGAAAAACAGGGTACTTTTAATTGACCGAGTTTCTGACTAAAATCAGGAAAGTGGTTTTTAGGCATGTTTGGTACTAATATGTTGTAGTGATATGTTGTCTTAGAACGAAAGTTCGAAAATAGTTTGTTTCGGTTGTTCACACCAAGAGGCAAGACAATATGTCCAATATATCTGAAATATTTACCTCCCACACATTATTTGTTCACTTTTTCTAATTGTTGTATACACGTGAGTCTGCACATGGCTCCGTTTATAACTAAGGTGGCTCCCTACAGTTGTTTAAGGATGGGAGTATGGGACAACAAAATGATGTGATCTTGTCAAGTTGAAATTTTATCACGTCAGCAAAAATTTCATTTGACGGCGCAAGGTTTGTAATGCAATAACTTTTTCCCTTTGGTCAATTTTTCTGAAATTTTGTATTTTACAAGTACTAGTCAATTGCAATATACCCAATTTTTAAAAAATTCTATGAAACAGTTTTTGTGGAACACATTTCGCGTAATATCTCAGCAAATGAATTTATAACCTTTACATGCAACTGTATAGGGAGCCACCTTAATCGCCATAATGCCTGTTTTAATACACAACTGCCTTTAGCCGATTTAGAGTACAGTGAACATAATACTGACAACACCATCTTAATTCTTCATGGTCGTCAGTGCACAAAAACTGAATGCTGCATGTTCGCTTTGTGTTTGCAAGCACCAAAGTCAAAGGTAAAATTTTCTTTTCGGTATCCCTACATGCATATGCTTATCTCTCACTCCTGTGATCAGTCATGTGCAGACTCACGTGTATACAATAAAGAAAGAGTGAGGAAATAATGTGTAGGTTTCAATTAAGCTGGAGACTTGTTTTCTAGATGTTAAATTAAAGTGTGAAAAATCAACAACTATATATGGGTAATTGCCGTAACAGTCCTAAACCTTACCCTAATTTGGCCTAAACCTTACCCTACACTACACCTTATAAGCAGATGTAAATTGAGCATATAGCTATAAGAGTGAAGCATCTTTGTTTTATACATCACCCGAACTGTCACAGTGATGCAAGCTAAGTTGACTCACTTTATATTTTTCTGTTGTACGGTTGGACGTATATTCAAAATACTTATCCATGCATGCATATAAATTGATTTTCGAACAACTTAGCTCCAGTTATATTATAATTATAAGGGAACAAATGATAGAATTTTAAACTCGAGGTTCTTCGAACACATGCATGAATTACACAATGTATTGAATGCGATTTCAGTATCTATTTTATTATCATCCACTTCTGATTATTTTGATAAATAATATGATTTTATTTGCATTTTTACATAATTATGGACAAATATATTGACAATGTTGTAAGTGTTCAACTATCGAGTAGTAATGGCTAAAGCTCTATGATTGTAACCTAATGTAGCGAGTTCTGGATATTTCTGTTTTAATACCTTAATCATAGGTTCTGTGAATAAATTGTCAATATTCTGCGAAATTTTCGCCGAGGTTTCTTCGAAGTGGCATCCCCATTGTTTTGCTAACATTCTACCTTCTTCAGAGCTGACGACATGATTCTCTTGATCGACATCACATTTATTTGCAACCAATAATATAGGTACTTCACCACGTCCCTTCGTCTTTAATATTTCCATTTTCACCTTTTTGGCATCCTCGAAGGATTTTCGATCATCTACAGCGTAAACAATAACAAATGTCTCAGCAGAGTTGATTGCAAGTTGTCTCATTGCGGGAAAGTCATCGGAACCAGTAATGTCAAATATCTGGTAAGAGACACCAACATCTGTAGCGTCGAGTCTGTAATGTTCTTCAAATACATCCATCGAAGTTGGATTATATTCATCGCTGAAGGACCCACACAAGAAACGTTTTACTAAGCTTGTCTTGCCGCTGTGACTTGAACCGAGAATGGATAAATTCATTTGGATTTTACCATCACACGGCGATATAATCTTCATCTTCTTTGTGCATTTTCTCGCTTTTCCAATCGGCATGGTAAACTGTATGAGTTACTTCAATATCTAGATTGCTACTTCTCCGAGCACTTGTTATGACTCTTGTTGATACTGATCTGATATATTCACTCCTACATGCATATTATAGAGGTTCAGATTTGACTTCCGGCACTACCACCACAATCAGGGGACCATTAACAAATCAGATACGTTTGATATATTCGATTAACCAATCAGATGTGTACTAATGCAGTTACAGGAAAGAGTAGTGGAACTCAAATATGAACCTCTATATTATATATGGTCCGGCCCTTTGACCGGAAAGGGAAGTGGAATTTAAAATGAAGTTATACATTGTATAAATTAGGTTATACTATATACGTTTTACAATGAGGATGCGAAACCCAATATGCCACTATTTTAGCCCAAAGTTTTAATTATATTCTTTTGAATTATATCTAGGAATATTTATTAAAGCATTGTATGAAGACTAAACCACTGACTGGAAAGATAAATTGTGAAACATATGCAGACTGCACTTCAAAATATTGATAATATTGATTTTTGATTATTAATATTACTATATTATGATTATTATTTTACTATTATCAATATTATTTTGTGTAGTTAATATGTAAAAAAGGATGCATGGGCATTTAAACAGATTCCGTTTGAAGTGTTTTTTCCTGATGAAAAGATTTTCGCTGAATTTCTGAAAATTCAGAAAGTCAGAAAGTGGTTTTTAAGCATGTTTGGTACTAACATATATATTGTAGTAATATGTTATGTGCTTCATTCAATGCGGTATAACAAAAGTATGTTTATATAGGTCATGACAGAATTTATTTTCGTAATGTACTCTTGACTTCATTGTCTTAGAAAAAAGTTCGAAATAGTTTGCTATGGTTATTTACACCAGGACAATATCTGAAATATTTACCTCCTACACATCATTTGTTCACTCTTTCTTTGTTGTATACACGTGAGTCTGCACATGACTCCGTTTATAGACTTAATTGCTTTAGTGCCTGTTTAAACAACTGATTTACCTGATTAAAGGGTATATAACATCTTACCGACAACATCTTCTTCATGGCCGTTCTTCGGAAGAAGATGATGTTGTCAGTATGATGTTATACTGTATATACTTTAAGTCTGGTTAACACGACTGAGATAAGCACAAACATAAGAAAATACAAAATGCAAAATTAAACAAAGAAATTCCGTGAAGCATGCGACATTTATAAATTTCGACATAAGCGCAAGGTTAAAGCAGAGACGTCTAAGCATAAGCTATAAGGGAACGATAGGCAGTTCACAAAAATATTCTGTTCGCTTTGTGTTTGCAAGTACCAAAGGTAAAATTTCCTTTTCGCAATTCCGGGCCTGCATAAATATGCTTATCTTACTCCTGTAATCAGTTTTGTATACAGACATTAAGGCAATTGAGTCTATAAACGAACTCACTTGCAGACTCCCGGGTAGCCTAGCAGTATAGCTCGGAAGAGTGATTTTCATTGGCTCGATTTGACAATTGCTTTTGTGTTTACAACAATGAATTGCTTCGTTCTTTAGAAAACCCCCATCCAATTGGAGACGACCTTCCGAGGCACTGCGAGAGATCGGAAGAGCTCACGTGTATAGAATAAAGAAAGAGTGAGCAAATAATGTGCAGGTTTCAAGATGGCGACTTGTTTTCAAGATGTTAAATTAAAGTGTGAAAAATCAACAACTAGGCAATTGTAACAGTCCGAAACCTTATACTAAAAAAAATTACCCTATCCTACACCTTATCCTATTATCCTAATCCTAACACTAACCTAGCAACAAAGCAGAGATGTAAATTGAGCATGATATAGCTTCTACAGGGTGTATAAAAATAAACGCAATTCATCTTTTGTGCTTAATAACTTTCGAAATACTATTTCTAGTTAAACGCTTTTAGGCTTACTTCAAAGCCTGTTCTTTTCTCTTTCAAACAAACTATTATCCTTGTCTCCAATGCTAGTAATAATTGCACAGGCAAAGTTTTAGTAAAACCTATCATTTTTAGTTGCTGTTTAATTATGCAAGTTTACTATGTTATTGTTTAGTCGATTTAAATGTTAGAATTTTCTTCTTTAAACTTTAATGTTGTCGTCACTACAACTGGAAAACCACGTAAGAACAAATTAAAAGTATTTTAAAAGAGACCAGGTTGTTTGAAAATCCTAAACGAATGCTAAAAATCGTCAAAACATTCTGGTGTCTGAGCCAGAGTGTCATCGAATTGCGATGTAATGTAAACAGAAATTATAGGAAGTTGATGTCAATCAGCTTAGATGGTCCAAGCCAAAATTATATCGCATTTGAAGTTTCAAACTGAGTTAAAAATTGTGGAAGAAAAGCCGTAATTATACTTATTGTTACAATCCATTTAATAAAATGCAACATTTGTTTGTTTTAATGAAAAAATTAGTTATTTTCATGAGAACGATTTGTTATTCCATCTCAATTTTTTTAATCTCCAATCGCAATAACGTAAAGTATTATTACCCGCGAACCAATGAGTCAAATTTAAGAAACAACCCACTGTTAGAAAGCTGAATGGCTACGCTTTAAAATGAATGTAAACTTTAACGTTTTCATCTATTATTTGTTTAGCAATTTACATTTCAGTATATGTTGATACACCCTGTATATTAGTGAGCTAAGATAGACATATTAGTAAATTAGTAAATTAGCAAATTAGTAAATATTCATGTGGCGCTTGAGTTCCTGCTTAAAACTATGAAAACTATTCGCTTCGACAACGTTCATAGGCAAAGCGTTCCATGCATGCAGTGACTATTCTGACAAAAAAGAATACTTATAGGGGTTAACTCTAGAAAGCTTGGTGTATAGAGTATATTTGTGATTTGATCTGGTTTTCCTTGATTTCTTATATTCAAAAACTTCATCGAAGTTTATACCATTTAGGCCAAAAACTGTTTTATAGCACTCTATGAGAGATAAGTACTCTCTTCGTTTTTCCAAAGTATTTCATTTTAGTAAGACACAACGATCTGGGTAGGACATCTCTCCCCGCTTCTGTTTAAGTGCTATCCGCGATGCTCTTCTCTGAACGGATTCGAGAGCCTTGATATCCTTGGATAAGTGTGGCGACCAGACTGGTGCGGAATATTTCAGTACAGGTCTAACCAAGGCTTTGTACAATAAGGTGAATGTTGCTAAGTTTGATGATCCAACGGGTTCGCTTAACCAGACCTAGCATTCGGTTTGCTTTACTAGTAATATTATGAACATGAGATGACCAAGCTAGGTTATTTGTCATCATAATACCTAGGTCTTTAAATTCGTCTGTTACTTCAAGTTTCTTATCTGACAGATAGTATTCGGGTAGAGAGAGGTCTTTTGAGTGGGTTATTCGCATTACTTCGCATTTCTCAAAGTTGAAGTTTAGTTGCCAATTTTCAGTCCAATTTCTCATACGGTCTAAATCAGATTGTAAAATACTAGTATCGGCAACTTTGTCCACTAATTTTCGGTAAATTTTTGTGTCATCTGCGAAGAGCTTAATCGAGCTTTGGATTTCCAAGGGTAGGTCGTTTATATAAATGAGGAACAATATTGGACCTAAGATTGTTCCCTGGGGTACCCCTGATTTAACTGGGGACCAGTTTGACTGCGAGCCACGTACGATAACACGCTGATAGCGGTCAGATACTTATCTGAACCAATTGAGCAGTGGCCCACCGATACCGTGTTGTTTCAATTTGTATAGTAAGCGCTCGTGTGGCACACTGTCAAAAGCTTTACAAAAGTCCATAATTACAACATCAGTGGGAGTAGCTTCGTCTCTAGATTTAGCCCAGTCATTGAAACATAGAAGTAGTTGGGATAGTGTAGATTTATTTGCTTGGAAACCGAATTGATGGTCACAAAAAATATGTCGATCTAGCCTGAATTTTACACATCTGTCTTGAACGATCTTCTCGGCGACTTTTGAAATGACTGACGTTAGAGAGATTTGGCGATAATTTTCTTTCATAGATTTCGACTTTCGTTTATGTACATGGGCGATATTTGCAATCTTCCAATCATACGGAAGTTTACCAGTGGAAAAGGACTCGTTTAAAATAGTTGTTAGGGAAGGTGCAAGCTGTGTGCAACATTGTTTCAAAACATGTGGAGAAATATCGTCTGGACCAGGAGACTTGTTTACATTCAACTCTTTCAGGTGACGTTCAACTTCCGCAACGGTGCATTCGATGTTAGTTAAACTATCCTTTGTCCTTCGTATCATTGACGAAAAGTTTTCAAAAGTTTCCTCGGTAAACACTGGTGAAAAATAATTATTCATACTCTCCGCAATTTCACTGTCATTTGTAATCTCTCCATCCTGTGTTTTTAATAATATTAGATTGTTTGCTCCGTCCCGCTTAGAATTTACATATCTCCAAAACGGTTTCGCATCATTGCTCGAAATTTTTTCAGCTAAACTATTTATATATTCCCATCGAGCAATATTACATTTCCTTTTAACCATATTATTTAGTTTACTATAGTAGTTTTGATCCCGCGTCTTACCGGTTCTCTTTGCTTTCTTATAAGCTGACCTTTTCTTCCGACATAGCAAGATCAATTCCCGCGTTATCCATGGGGCATTTTGCCTTCTCTTAGCACCCACCTTGGGGATACTATCGTCAACGGCTGATGCTAATAGATCTTTCCAGACTTGCCACTTGCTATCCATGTCATGTTCGGTCAAAGAGAGGTGCCATGGAGCAAGGTGTAGGAGATTTGTTTTGTATGGCATTTTATCTATTTTGAATGTGATTAAATTATGATAGGAGAAAGGATTTCCAACGCACGCATCTTACACGTAATCAGTGGATGTAGTGAGCACGAGATCGAGAATATTCTCGTTGGTTCGAAAATCATTTGACTCAGAAAGTTGTCGTGGACAATGTCGAGCAATAGATTGGGCAAGGCTGAGATTATTGATGTACCTGCATTAGACCAATCTATCTCAGTGATGTTAAAATCGCCCACAACTATCAAATCTGATGTCGAAACTTCGCTAAGAATTCTTTTATAGTTCTTTTAAGGGATATAAATCACTATTTGGTGGTCTATAGAAGACGACTAAAGTAATTTTTTGATTGTGTTTAAGAATGATTTCTGCAATCAGGATCGTTTGTAGCCCAGAGGCACGACGGTATTCGAGATTTTCTAACTTTGCTTACTAGCAAGGTATGCAAGAATGTGGAATCAGAGCCTCGTCTTCAACCGCTGGATAACGAACAATTCCGCCACAGAACCGCTGTCACTAGTCCGGAGGCAAGATTGGACATAAAGGCAGGAGGCTTCTGGCAACGAGGAGTGACAGCATTTTTTGATGTTAGAATAACGCATGTCAACTCCAAGTGTAACCAGAACAAGCCTACGACTACCATCTTTAAAGAGCACGAGAACGAGAAGAAGAGAAAATATCAACAGCGAGTGCTAGATGTCAAAATGGGGACGTTCACGCCTTTGGTTCTTGGTACCAACGGTGGTATGGGAACAGAATGCCAAATGTTTCTGAAACACCTTGCTGATAAGCTTTCACGAAGGGACGGGGAACCTTACCACGCAGTCATTTCATGGATTAGAACACGCTTATCTTTTGAGATTTTAAGATCGGTGAACATTTGTGTCAGGGGATCTAGAAGGCCCTTTAAGAACGCAAATGACTTCATAGATGATTTTAATGTAAATGCTAATGCAGCAGAAATTTTTTAGATACTTTTATAATGGACTATTTATATGGATAATTTTCTTTTTTAACTATACAATTGACATATATTAATAAAGTTCTTTGCAATAGCAAAAAAAAAAATTATCAGGAGTGTTGGGTTTAATGTCGTCCGGTGTACGATTTTGTATGAACTTTTGGTGGCTATCAAAACACCGTCTCCACGACGATTTCGATCACGTCTGAGTACTGAGAAATTTGAGGGGAAAATTTCAGAATCAGCTATGGTAGAGTCTAAATGCGTTTCAGTCAGTATCACAATGTCTGACTGGTTACTGGTGATCTCCAAGTGCAGTTTATCGATCTTGTTTACAATACTACGGGTGTTCGCGTATAGAACAGAAAGTTTACTTGATGTGTGTGTATTTCTATACATACCGACGCTACTGACTTGTTCGGTGGTTAAGCTTGGTCCTGGGTTAATAGCGATATCTCCAGCGATCAAAAGGAGAGCTGTTTGTAAGGTACTCTCAGGGAATTGATTGAAATCCAAATTAAAAGCGTACTTTACGCCCACTCCAAGTCTGCTTCGTAATATTTTATCTCTGCTACAGCACCAGTATAATCCACTTCCATCGGCACCAATACATGATAGTGAACTCTTTATTTTGAAATATAAGAGCCCATTATAGTTTTCAGAAGTAGTTTGATCCTTATGTAAGGATATTTTGTTCAAAATAAACATTAAATGAACGGTGAAACAAAGAGCAAGAAATGCACGTCCATTCGCCATGATGCTCAATATTTATTATCTTAATAATCTTAATTATTTGTACTTTTGATATATTTTAGATATAGAAATGTTAGTGATGCCACATACCAGAAGTGCTTTCCAAGGCGGACGAACAATTATTCACGATAACTGAACTTCGACATTCATAAAACGTAAAGCGATGTGATTTTCTGATTAACTGTTGAGATCAAAGTAAGCCACATTCGACTTTAATCCAAATACTTAGGTCAAACTATCACTTAAATCTTAATAGCGTAAGACCGTGTTTGAGAATATTTTGACTCGTACTGATAATATTCGCTCAGTAATTATATGTACAAGCGCTTTGATGCGATCATGCAGTTCCTATAGCTCTGTGGGATAAGAAACTATTCAATTCCCATTTTATTCAGTTTATTTTCTAAAGAATTTGTTTTCGTAATCATGTTTTTCAAATTTTACTATCATGTTCGGCAAGAAATTGTCAATTTCGAAAATTTATAGACAAGTGCAAATTCTAAAACTTAATCGTGCAAAATTTATTTATTTAGTTTTTCAATTCCACGGATGTCAAAACTTGAAGACCCCAAAAGTAGACACATCGTGCAGGGTTGAAATTATTGATTTCTGTCAATTATTTCTCTTCTCCGGTTGTTCTCTTCTTGCCACGGGCATAGACTTGATAGGCGGCTTTCAGCCCACTCTCCAAGGCGCCTTGAATCCAACCAGCGGCAATTGATAAGGCGTCTCCAGCGAAATGTACGTTACCCATGGGTTCCCGCAAAGTTCTAAATTACGAAAAAATAAAAATTAATATAGATAAATAAAAGATACATATATTATATGTTATTGACCGAGCGAGTGGTCCGAATTGAAATTAAAAATAACGCGAAGATTGTCCGGATTGAACAAATTGAGTCAATAAGTCAGTCTTCAATCCGTCCTGACTATGTAGCTCAGTTGGTTGAGCATCGATCTATATAGTAATTCGAAGGTCACGGGTTCGAAACCCAGCAGCGGCCGGCAGAGTTTTTTACTTGCGCGCTATCTGGAAATTATGATATATCTCACTCATAGAAATAATAGATATAGAATGCGTACTTGATCACGGATCATGTCTCCACTTTTTTTCATGCGTGCCCAATTATAAATCCGCCATACTGAATTTGACTAGGAGTGCAAAGTATGAACACAGCAAAACGTCTTGCCTTGTTGTCTAATTTATAGTTTAGGCATAGATTTTGAAATATTAGGTTCTTTGAAGGCACAAAGCAAATGTGCAGTTACAAAAAGGGTGAAAATCGTGCAGCTTATAACAAAGTAGTTTCGCGTAAATATAATTTACTCATAAAACATTTTTGCATGCTCTGAACGTCACTATATTGTCACTACTTTGCTAATATCTTATAAGATTACAAAATAATAATTCTTTCTTCCTCGGGTTTCGTTTTTCTTCAATGTAAACGAAGTGTTTTCATGTTCTTGAAACAAAAATGTTTAGTTGTCGATACACTGTAAATTTCCCAAATAATCGTCGAAAACTATGGTTTCAAAAGCGTTGTTGCCTCAAGCTCAAGCAACGTAGAAAAATATGAAAAGTAATTGTGTAAATTTAAAAAGATTATTGAACTCCATTTATATTATGAAAGAGTTGAAATATTTGTAGAACATAGGGCCTACCTATTGATCGAGTTTGAGTTTGTCTTGATCTTTCGTGTTTTGTTTTGAATTGCACAACAACGTTGAAAATTTATTTTTAATTAAACGACGATTTCTGTATATATTCTGTACAGAACTATTGCTTATCGTGAAAAAGCCGACTGGAATGGGTTTTTAGACACTTTTTCCCCTTTACAAAGCCTTTTTTCCTCATCTTAAGTCTCGATAAAATTTTTTTTGCAAACTTTGCAGTTGAAAAAGCAATTCGCACTCCTTGCAACCGCGCGAAATTCCTTGGCTCAGGGGTCTGCATGGGACCAACCAAAATGCCCTTATAAATAATTAATCCGCCATTTTGTGGAGATAATTTTTTTACTGAGAAAAGATAGGAGTACGCATTCTATATCTATTATTTCTATAATCTTACTCGAGAACATTTTCTCCTTTCCGACATTTTTCTCAAATACCGTTGGTTTTTCCTTGTTTGATGGCATGAACGTACGCGCGCGCGAAAATTGTTGGTGTTGCCTTCCCACGCGCAGACAACATTTCCCTAAAAATGGCTTTTGGTGCACGCACTTCGACAAGATTTCTGATCTTTTGTGCAGCAGATGTCGACGCGACATTTTTAGTATTTGCAGCTTCTCTTGTATAAGCATATGTTGCATCTTCGTCTTCCACTTGCGTACGAGACAGCCTTGCGTCCAAGAATGGACCAAGTGATGTTATAAGGTCTTCCGCTTCTCTTTAATCTCCAAATATGCTTCGATAGCTCCGTTTCATTCGCGTATCACTGAAGTTCGAACAATTTCTTATGGTTTCTGTATACCTGTCTTTAATTTAAATTTACCAGCTGTTACTCCAATGTACCACTCAGTGTCACCGTTGTCGTGACTATTTACTTTGCCTTGATATAAACGATAGCCTGGATTATTATTTCTGGAGTGGGCATTCGTCTTTGTTGCAACAGTTACAGTTGGTTTCTTTGGTTGCGATGGGTTGGGTCGATTTAATTTTCGCGTTGTGGTCCATGACATTCTTCATGCAGCTGCATTTAGGCTAATCTTGATTGAATTGCGGTTAAAGATCTTATGTAGACGGCTTAATTGAGGAAAATGTTTGTCAATAAGTTAGAGGAGAGTTTTGCCAATATTTGTTACTATATTTTTGCTGTAAGGTGGGCTAAATCATAAACGTTTCATTTGCGATTCTGTTAGCTGGTACAACTCTCATTGTTGGAGTCGCCAAATTTACTTGATGGTGATTCATTGTATTGTGCTACGACATAATGCATTCACTCTGGTCGGGGTGATAAATTGAACGTTTTGCAGGAAAGTAATATGGTTTGACCCATCTTACAGCAAAAACTTAGTAACAAACATTGGCAAAACTTTCCTCCAATTATCGACAAACATTTTTCTAAATCAAGCCGTCTATAAGATCTTTAACTGCAATTCAATCAAGATTAGTTACAGCCGCATGAAGAATGTGAATTAATACCACGATTTCTAACCACAACACTAGAATTAGATCGACACAGCCGACTGCAACCAAAGAAACCAGGTGTAACTGTCGCAAGAAAGACGAATGCCCCCATCAGAAAAATGTTTGACCCATGAAGGCTATCGTTCATCAAGCCGAAGTAAATAGTCACGACAACGGTGATACTATAAGCGGTACATTCGAGTAGCATTTGGCGAATTTAAAGACAGGTACATAAACCATAAGAAATCGTCCGAGCTTCGGAGATACGCGAATGAAACGGAGCTATCGAAGCACATTTGGAGACTTTTAATATATCGGGACAGTAAAATTGATTGAAATAGTAAGCTGCGAGGAAGCAAAATTTAGTATTCAGTAAATGTTTTGGGCGAATTCAATCGGTTTCATCTTTGCACCTCTACAAAAAAAGCGACTGAGTTCGCATAAAAGTTGAGTGCGGCTTGGAATTCATCCCATCATTTAAGATTGGAAATATAGAAATAAATTGATTAACAACTTCATTTCACACATCCGGCAAGCATTAGGAATTCGTCTTGTTTTACAAGATATCGAAGTATACCGCGGCATTTTTGCAACATAAAATTGTGCTCTGATTCCTACCTGACAGTGTTAAACTGACGGGCCTTCAAAAAGGCATAGGCACCTTGATAAGAGGGTTGGTTGGACCAAGCACGAACAAAATGTTTTTCAATCATATGTTCCTCCTTGATTTCGGGGTGGAATTCTGCGATTTGTTCAATTGCCTCCAGTTCGACTTGCTTTTTCTTCAAGAAACCAAACATCAGTGCGTCATTCTTCAAAGTGAAAACCATAATTATTCCTTGCTTCGTGGACTCGACATATTCCGGGTCCGGCTTGACGTAATGAATTTGGCCGATAGGGAGGTTGGTCTTGGAAAAGCCACCTTGAATATTGTACTTTTTGTCCTCCCAGAATCGTCTTTTGGTTTGCAGAATGATCTTGGTGGACGGTGAGATAATGAAGTTGTCGATGGCTTGAAGACTCTTTCGCTGTTCATGTTTAACATTTTTGTCCTCAACCAGCGATTCAAAAGTGATTTGCCGCAATATGTTCACCGTTGTGGTAACAATTACAGCCTGTAGCAAAAGAAAACAAGGCTGAAAAATAAGTCACCTTATGGAACATTATATACGATATCATATTGCCAGTTCAACGTTTCTCATTTTGGGGGCCGGGTTCTTTGTCGCTTTATCAGGGTCTTTCTCAAAAATGCGTCAGTCTGGAGGGGAGGGGGGCGCAGAACAATTGCACAGTATGACGTAAGTTGGTGAGAAAGCTGTCAACCCATCTTGGAAAGGGAGAGGGATAGTATGTCCTCAGAAAATGTTAAGAACTTTAAGCCAGGAAATTATGCACCCAGCTATTTCCGGCAATAGTTTTAGTCAAAATGATAATTTGTATATCAATTGGTGATAGGCTGATATATTTCTGAAACGCATATACACTGTTATGTCTTGCGGCAAAGTGTCTTTCGAAATTTTTTCTCGCGAAGATATAGCGGTACAAATGTCGAAAAATCGGCCATTTTGTTACTAAAAATAGAAGAAAATGGCCGATTTTTAGAAATTTGAGTCATGATATCTTCGCAAGGAATGGTTGTATTTAGAAACAGACTTCAGTTTTAAGACTCTCTCAATGTCGTCTACCGAATAAGTGCATCAAATTAACAATAGCTAACTGTTATTTTTTTAGCGGCAAGTTTGTGACGTCATTTTGCCGCCAAAAATGTAGCAATTCGAAAAACAAAAAACGTACGATTTGTATGTATAACATGTTCTATGCTTATGGGAAATTATGTAGAAACAGGATAAAAATTAAAGAAATTCAAGCACATTGGCGCTTTGGCATGCATTTTTGTCAGGCGTGGTTCTTGTTAAGACAACTTTATGCCAAAATGTTATTACAATCTTTTAATTTTTAACTTAACCGAAATAAAAATCAATCCAATCCCTGCTATGCCAACACCTCTGCTGCTGTTATCATGTGTTGAAAGTATGCAGTACTTATTTGTTTGTTAAATTAACATGCATAGTATTGTGTTGTATCATATTTGTACGTCCTAGTAAATAAACATCCTTAATTAAAGCAGAAATCTGAAAGAGGTTCAGTACACGTACGCATGTATAATACCGGCAGTATGTATAAAATATTAATTTTGAGCTACTTTAACAATTATGTCAGAAAGACAAATGGCGTTAACATGACTCCTCATGGCTACATCATTATGCATTTAAGTTGTTTTCGATATTAATTAATAGTATAAGACCAATTTCATAATTGGGACTATAAATTTAAATATTATTTTATGTTCATCTTAATAAGCCTGCTTGGCCTCTTTCTGTGATTGAAATTATTAGAACCTGTTAACTTCAACAAGGCCAAGCAGGCTCCCTAAGAGGTCGTATGCCTTAAACAACATTTAAATTGGTCTCAAGTTGGTATTTTCATGGTATTTTCTATTTGTGTACCCGCGGTATAATTCATATTTTTAAATTTTTCAAGCACGTTAATACTACATGTAATGACAGCCGCGTAAAATCCCCCTTTTGTCCAATAAATCTAATCACCCGCCAAAATTATTTTGAGCCTTTGGAATTTGAAATGGTCTTGAAATTTTGTTGAATTAACAGTTTAGCTGACGATATTTGCATCTAGGACTAGGAGCCACACACTGAAACGTTGAATATAAACACAGGGGGCCCCACTATGAGTTATGATTGAAATAATATTGTATTTATTTTTAAAAACCTACTTGAATCCCTTGATAATCGATTATTTCTTCTCTCGAAATTCTGTAAACATTTTAAACTGCTTGAATCATT